TGCAGGATTTCGGCATGCACCAAAGGACGAGTGTCAAAACTTACCGAATTGATCCGATACTTCTGCAAAATTGAGCGCATCACAAACCATCTACATCGTTCCGTCCAGCAAGAACTTTTAACAGATCCAGCTCAACGGGTAAGTTGGTAGAATCGACTTGACAGAAGAGTAAGGTACCGTTGGCGTATCTTTGTATGAAGCTCCTGTTCAGGCTGGGCGGTGTACGTTGAGCCTGATTTATGAAAGAAATCTCGACTTAGTTGGGCTCATAATCATTACGGGGAATGCTACTGTACGAGTTACAAGTAAGCTACATGGATAAACAATGGGACCAGATTCCAAGAGCGATGCATTTGACAGGGCACACGTTTGTGAACCGGAACCTATCCAGGAGAGTGGATCTATACGGACTCAGGAGTCCTAGTAGTGGCAAAGCGACGGATCCTAGCTGGTTAGGGTAAAAACAGGAAGAGATGATATCGCCCATGCAGACTCACGGACAGCCTGGACGAGAGACAGAGAACCGCAAAAACTGATGGACCAGAGGAGCAAGTGACACGAACTTGTCCCTGTCTCAAGGACTGGTCAGACTGTTCCAACGGCGGATACACAACACTGGAGGTTAGAGATACATTTGAACAAGTCATCCAGAACGAGAAACAAATACTTGACCACCGAGTGGTATTTTATAGAATAATTCATCCCACCTAGTGCTAACCTGGTCACACCAGCGGATGTAGCTGAAGCCTCTCAAACGGTGTCATGTGAACCTCCGGTAGAGGTAGCGTGCGAAGTTCTATTCGGGTGCTTAAGAGGAGAAAGGCAGTCGGACATGACGAGTTTCTCATTATTATTTCCGGATGAGAGGTGAGTCCCTGGTAGATCCGTTGACCATTTGGTTCCATCATATCTGGTAGGAGGAGCGCGTATAATAATCCTAGATCCAATCGTTCAGCGTTCCTGTTTTCAAGACTGCGTCAACTGCCGCAGGATAAGCTGAATTCCGGTAGTTACTCAAGCGTGAGATTTCATAATACTTCACTCCCTAATGCCCCCGAGAGAAAAGAATAACCGAGAACATCCCGGGCAGGATTCTTACTTGATTAAGTCTATGTACACCCATACAGGTGGCGTTAGAGTCTGCGACGAGTGGAGCAGATCGTTCGAAACCAACAACGTTGTTCGTCAAGGGCCCTCCATTTTGCTGTTCTGGAACAACTTTGTTGGAGATGAAGTACTCGAGAACATTTTACAGACAGATAGGTTTTGTTGCTTCAAGCGCAAAGAGGTGCGGGAAGATCGGATGGGGACCAACACTGCATTATAACTAGAGGAACAGAAAATGACCCTAGCCGTCTGCCTCTCCTAGCCAGATACTCCCGTCACAAATCACGGTAATCCAGTTAGGCTGACCGCACGCGAAAACCACATGGAGATCAGCAGATGAAGAAAAGCATGGAATGAGTGAGTAAAATCGATCTCCTATGCGCCAGGATGGGATCCTTAAGATTTCCTGACTGAATAGTTGGATATACTGAAGGATATGACAGCGAATCGACATCAGCGGAGTTCTTGCTGTTATTCAATATCACATAGGAATGCTAGAAAAGATGTACATGCAGTTGACATATGTGCTCCATGTTGACCAGGGCAAGCGATGTTTGCTGAGGCAGACAGTGGTTGAAAAAGGTCAAGAGTGGTCAAACGAAGACCTGGCATGAGAGTATGAAAATCCTAACCAGGATTCTGGGTCACAGGTCCCGTTAGGACCACTGGATGGTCACCAATGGTTAGAGTGATATGGCTGGGTGTCGCAAAACACTGGCGCTCGTGCATCATTATTCTCCTTACGCCACTCTATATGAATTCTCCACATTCCGCTTAATTTGTTTTCAACATTCCGATCTCCATTCTGCTCTGTTATCTAAATGGGCGGTCAAAAGACAGCAACCGAAATCGACGCATGAAAAGGCATGGTTCATGGTTGTAAAACCAGAACTGAGGGCGGTTAGCTTTCTTGTAGACTCCATATATAAATGAATACATATATCTTTAATACCGGCTTGAGAACAAGCATGATGCCAACGCGACAAGAATAACAGAGAACGAAGGGGTCGGAATACAAGGCAGTGAAATGGATGTCAAACAGTTATAGTCGGTAACAAGACCCCATCCTCGAGACAGACCGACTGCCATCCCTCCTTAAATGTTTGTATATGATGCGCTCGGTAGAGATGAGCGAAGTTCGTTTCAATGTATGTCTCTTTACTTCCTTTTTTAATTATTGAATACACAAATGTACAGTCAATATTCAGGAAGGCGGTCGCGGCCATACAAAAGCTGCCTGGAAAGACGGGCGGCGGAGTGGTTCCAACCCGGGACTAACAGGTCACAAGTTGGTGATGATGAGGACGCTTTTAAACGTTTTACAGCCTATTCACTGACCACAGACCTTGAATTAATAAAAAAAATTACGATATGCATTACCTCACGATCAATGCAAGATTGAAACACAATCCGTGCGCACATTTTACAGGATATTTATCATGAATGGTTCAATCGATCAATGGTGAATTTCGGCGACTGAATTTTCAAAACTGACGTGAACAATCACTAATTGATTGTGTAAACGATCGCAAACAAAAGGACAAGCACACTAAGGCAGTTTTGGATTCATCAGAGCCCGTCTTATCTTCGCAAAAGAGACAATACATACATACGGGGGTCAATCAAGTCATGCGAATTGCTTTGCATCAATGCGTTCCGAGAAACAGTGTTGCACTTAACACATCTATCGAATTCTCGTGTGTTNTGAACACAAATCCTACAGCCCTGCGAAAACTACCGCGCCCTTATACCTCGGCACAATCTGTTTTGTACGGCTGCACACGAATCGAATCAGTAATTAACATCATGTGCCAAGAAGATACCTGGGCATCGGGACTGGAAAACCAAAATTCGGATGAAAGAAGTGCATTTGTTCTCAATGGGAATAAATTTCAATAGCATTCCTTGTAGCCCTGACGGCGCCAAATTTGGGAATCAGACGCGTACTGTGCAGGTGGGTAACGATAGAATTACCATAAGTTGACCGTGTCTGGTAAGGTGAGTCTTTTGTTTACCACTCCTTAACTAAGTTCGACAATGTTCGCCTGATTTTTCCAGCCGATTTGTGTGTGCACGATCTAGCTGAGAATAGACTTTTCGTCTGTCACAAACTTTACAGACCAGAGTTATCAGTGTATTATCACTTGCAGTTAGATTAATCAATATCTTGGCCTGTCTAGGCTCCTTTTCCCCGGGTAAATCGATAAGCGACGATCTAAAACACCACTACCCATAAAACACGTTCCACAAAAAAACAAAACAAAGTATAAGACAATAATGCTACACAAATTGCATTAACCGATTATTAGGAAAGACAGAAGATAAGCAAACAAAGATAAATGTGAACAATAAGGATAAGGATTTTGGCTATGGACGGTCTGTTTCGAATGCAAAGGGGTGGGTGGACGGGAGAGTGGAAACGTGTGTGTGTATGTGAGCCAGAGATCAATGGACATGAATTGGACAAGACAGACAGACAGACAGAGGAGGAAACAGAGTTAGGAAAAGGCCAAACCTGTTTTTACGGGCATATCAGTTGATGAATAGAAGAAATGAGAGTAATTGGTTCAAAGTATGATGTGCATTGGAGCACGAAAACAGGATACAGATCAAAATGAATGGGCAAATGAAGTAATCGAAGTTATCACACACACGCCGCAAATCGATCGCAGAGATCACATGGACTAAGCATCGACGTCAGATGCCGTGCTTACGAAAGAGTATTTACACAGATTGTGACACTAGCGTACAATAGCATAGCATTCTCCATCTCTCTGCAGCGATAAGGAGGAGGAGGGCCGGTGAGAGTTCAGGTTTCGTTCGATGCGTTGAGAGAAAAAAGGAGATACTGGGCAGAAAATGAGGAACGCGCGTCATCTAGGAATAATGAAGTACCTACATTTAACCGGCGAAACCCCAGATCCCACAGAAGAGTTAACAATTGGAGGAATGCAGCGTTGAGTTGTTGTTTCCGGTGCCTTGTTGGTAAGGAAGCTTTAATGAAAATGATCTATGTGATTGGAAGATTGGTAGTTAGGCCGTTGATATAATATGAACTAAATTGAAGGAGATTCGAGAGGGTAAGGGGAGGTGGATGAAGACAAATGTGAACATTCAAAAAGAACACCAGCATGAAGATGCTGATGATGGGGGTGAGTGAAAGGGGTTGGGAGATTTCATTTCCACACACAGGTACCCCAATATAAGAAAATGTCCATTAGTGTGCGTGAATCAGTCAGTATCCTTTTCTATCAGATGGTAATAATAATTGGTCAAATTTTAGCTTCCTCAATGTATATATGACAGACAAAAAAGTGAACGAAATCAGAAGCGGGAGGGAGAGAGACAGAAGGTTTAGGTGATCAATGGTGGAAATCAGATGCCGTTTTACTGGATGAGGGGGGAGGTAGGTTATATGTTATTTCAGTTGATAGGAAAACATCAGCTGGTAGGTTGCAGAGTTTCACGATGTTATANTTTGCAGTACTTATTACTTTCCGCGACACAGTGCGTAAGCCAACCGATACCGTAGACAATAGAGAAGATATTATGAAAGAGAAAACTAAAAAAACCGTTAACAGTGACAATGAGAGGAACCGGCATTGGGGTTCGAGCACGTGCGACAGCGAAAAAATGACACAAAATATAATTTAGTTGAGGGAAAACGGCACGGTGAAAATGAGATGGGTGGATAGTACGGATGCGGACGGTGTAGGTAGACAAGATAAGCAGGAAAAACCAGCGGGTGTAACTGAAACACGAAAAAAGAAGTGGAGAACGGACGAGGGAGAAATAGCGAATGCCAGGGGAGGGGGGAGGAGCGTTGCGACGAAGGCCAATATGAGCTGTGGATCACGTACAAAATACAAAGCAACGTAGCCAGATAGATGAGGCTAATGCATCGGAAACTGACTGACTTGTGAACCCACTAGCGTGCGTGCGCACGCGCATGAGGGAGAGAGATATGGGTATCCGGATGCGAATGAGACAGTCTGACCAATCAGAAAAAGAAAACAAACGGGCGCGAGTATTCCCCAAAGATCGAGATCAGAATTCGGCAAATTCTTTGGCACACTTCTCGGTGGTCGCAATACGTAACGGTTCCTCCTCGTAGTCGTCGAAGTTGCTTGCATCACCTGCACCATTGCACTTCGGGGTGAACGGAGTTTCAAGCTTTATTGGGGAACAATGAGAAACAGTGAACGTATTAGAGGCATATATATAAATCAGAATAACTGTGAAGAAGCAAAACAATGTGTAACAACATGTTAACAATAAACAGAACGTCACTTTGCTGTCAATACATGCGGTGGGTAGAGACATGGAATCGCATAGATCAAAAAGAGAGTGGAGAACGAACGGTTTCGATATATATATATATAACTTTACTTACATGATTTCCTCCGGACAGACCGATATCCTACGGGGTCTGACAGTTGTAGATCGAGATTAGGTTCCGATAATGCGCAATCAAATAGACAAGTGATTCGTTTTACCGCCAAACAAGCAAAACAATATACGTTACTGAGTACAAATTACGCCTAATCCATGTATAACCTTTTATATGCAGAAACAAAGGCGTGGCCCATTTCCTATATAACTTACGCCCACCAGAAGTCAAACAGAGGTTGACAGCACTCATTGGGGTGCGAAAGATTTAATCCACGAAGCATGCTGATATGTAGCACGATTGAACTGAAGTATGTACCTATCTGAAAGGATACTTCATCGACAAGCAAAATATACCGTCTCTCGAGAAGATGAAAACGGAATACTTTTGCACCCATCAAATGGTCTCGCAAAAGAATGTGAAAAACATTGTCAGTACACAACTGACGAACTGGGCTCAAGGTGGAGAGTAGGCCAGTAGAAAGAACACGGATTGGTACCTACGACCGGATTCGGTACTGTGACTTCGGCTAATAACTAAACAGCGGTTTTCGGTGAATAGGTAAAATTGTATACTTTCACTGATAGTCGATAGTTACTCAAACAGAAAGACGCTGCGATGTATAACCTGTTCTACGGTTTGGTGCCCTACCAAACCCCTCTGAAATAAAAACTGTTACAACAGTATGATGAGTGTGGTTTTGGTGCTGATTAGGTTAAATGAACTTGATGCAGTTAATTTAGTCGGGAACTGGAACCGTCGCTTAGTTGGGAATCTGGATCTTGAAATTACCTGAGATGTTAAATCAGAACTTAAAGCTTTC